CGCTTACTGGAGCTCTTTTAGTTTGCACGACAAGGATGCTCTTTTCAGTCTTAATCTTCTGCTCAGCCAACATTAGCATCCCATGCAGCTCGGTTAAGCTCTTGTCCATACCATTCATATCAGAGTTTAAGACAAAATGTCGAAAACTATCAGGAAGTGAATGGAGGACCTTGTCCACCGCAAGCTCCTTGTGCATCTTAGCGCCAAGTCATTCCAGATCATCAAAATGACTCTTCATTTTGAGCACATGTGGAGCGACAGGACACCCGTTAGCCAGTTTACAGTCCAAAAGACTACACATAACCTTGAACCTCTCTGAGCGGGCTTTCTCTTCGAACATGAGCTTAAGTTGATCCATCATCAACCAAGCACCCAGACCATCAAACTGTTTGATCAAGTCGGGAGTCATTGTTCCACGCATAAGGCAGTTCACATCACGGTTGTCTTTCTTATACTACTTCAAGTAAGCATCCTTGACAGCCCGTGATGCATTGTTCGGTGGCTCCTCATCGACGAACGGTTTGTCGAGGACGTACTCCTTTTCTTCGCTTCTGAGAACAATTCTCAAGTAGCGGCACAAGTCAAGGAAGTTCGCCCCATTGAGTTTTTCACGCTCAATGATCGATCGCAACGAAAGTGACGGAGTTGGTATACTACCAGATCCGATGTTCGGCATCTACAGAATTTCAGACAGTATAACAAGAAGATATAAATATATACAGAAAACAAGCAAAGAACAATTCCAAGCATATCAACAGACAATATAGACAAAAAAATACGACAAAAGTTCCCACTAAGATGATAACCCTCGGTATCCTCTTATGGGTACTAGGATCCCAATTTAAGAACATAATCTTTAAGTCTGCTTTGGCATTACACCTTAAGATTATGCTAATCAGGTAGATAAACAATTCGTCAATCATATCCAATGTGATTCCTAGCAATCATGAGATCATAGTATCACATACTATTGCATGTTGTATCTCATCTTGTACCATTGAATCCAAAACCATTTTGATGACTCAATTAAGCTCAAACCATATTCGAGTTCATGGAATGAAATAACTTGGTACACCTCGCATAGGCGAAACCTATACACGGATGATCGATGCCTTGACGAGTACTCTACCAATGGGTGGTACTTAGGCTTATATTTCAGATGGATTTTTCAGATATAACCATTACACTAGATGAACAACGTTTGTTCATTCCACCATGACCCGATATGTAACAATTACATATGATATATCATAAACAACAATTGTTTCATATACATCTATAAAAACTCTAGCAATAGGTTTCCAGGGTTCGGGGTGGAGCCCCGACACTGGGGTTCGGGGCGGGAGCCCTGACCAGAGTCCAGGGGCGGAGCCTTGGCAGTGGTTCTCTAACATCGATATCGAGGTTCCTCAACATCGATATTCTTCAGATCTAGTATCTCAAGATCTCGATCGATATCGATGTTCTCTAACATCGATATCGAGGTTCCTCAACATCGATAATCTTCAGATCTAGTATCTGAAGATCTCGATGTTTACTCAACATCGATATTTTTCCAGATCTGAATCTAAAAAATATCGAGGATCTCTCAATATCGATATCGAGGTTTTAAGACATCGATATCGATGTTCTCAACGTCGATATTGAGGTTTCCAAAACGTCGATATTCGTAAATCGCGATCTGTTCATCCCAATTTTTAACTCTATGATAGATCCAATCGATTCACGAGTTTCTGTATTCGATTTTGATCATATCAACGCTTTGATACAACCAAATCGAACCAAACAATTGATTGTTTTCACAAAAACATCAATTCGTTTGACAGATCCAAATAACACAGAGAGCACACATTTGATTCTCTTATTCAAAACCGATTTTAAACTCATATCAAACATGAAACAAGTTTCAATTATACGCCAACCAGGCTCTGATACCACTGTTGGGGTTTTGGAGATCCCTAAACATTCGTTCATAACGGTTTCTAGGGTTCCAATCTTGGGTTTCACGCAACGGAGTAATATGAAACGAAACCCAATCAACAAATCTTGCATATATCGATAAAGGTATATATACCAACCTATTTCGATCCAGAGATCTGTCACAAACGTTGAAATCCAATGTTCTCTATAGCTAGTCCACACTCACGGGGTTGCGTCTGCTAGAACACGATCTGGAGGTCGGGAATGAAAAACGAGACACTCCTCGGGAGAGAGAGAGAGACAACGGTCGCGAGTTAGAGAGAGAGAGACAAAAATTGTCACTTAATTATGTTTCTCTAAACATAATTATAAACATGATTTGGGTTTCATTAAACCCATTGGGCCTAATAGGCCTTCACTTAATTAATAAGAGAAAACAAGCCCATTAACCTCATTAATAAACATATGGGCCCATTGGGAAACCTAAACCCATCCAGTGGATTTCTAATCAGTTTCGCAAACCGATCATGGCCAGAGAACCATATCTATCATGGATGTCCCAGGCCGGACGGTCTGACATCCCCAGTCCGGATGGTCTGCGTTCCAAACCATAAATTTAGACTAAGAGGTCTCAGGATAGCACGAGACGTCTGGACCGACCGTTTCACACCCTGGACCGACCGGTCTCGGGTACAGAACCCATTCTTCGGACAATTTTCGAATTCCGTGTGCGGTGAGACGTGTGATTCAAACGATGTGAGTGAGTCATTGCGTGATTATACGGGGTAGTTTGCATGGCGTTAAGCGGTAGGTTGGTATGGGACCGGATGCTGTGACACGTGGGATTGTACTAGGGGATATATGCATGATGTGTGCCGTATGTGTAGCTTGCTCGTGCGATGCGAGTCAAGCGTGATTGTTTTTGTGGGTGGTTGTGAATGCAACCATCACCGTCATGGACTTGACGGGCGTTTGAGATGCGTTTTAGTCGTGTGCGACGCGACGACCAACATCATGGACTTGACGGGCATGAAGGCGCTCATAGTCATGGACTTGACTAGGATCTATGGCTAAAAACCCTATGGTAGACTCCATACGGGTGTGATTGTGATTGACTTGATTGTGATGTATGTTATGTGACGATGCATGCTTATTTATTGTTGCGTGATGATTGTGAATCATCGTTTTAATACTGTTCTCGCTGAGAAGGGGTTTACCGAGTTTAACCCGGGCTACTCACTAAGCAGTTGTGCTTAGCTCTCGTGGTTTTATATTTTTCAGATCACGAGGATTACGCCTAGCGCACCGGACGACGACGACCTGAGAGAGGCAGCATCATGTACGAGATATGTATTTTGGACTATGGGACTTGTATTCCCGCATTTTGTACAGTTATATTATAACTATTCGAACATGTGTTGTTTTGCGATACTGATCGCTTGTATTTCCTGCTGCTTACTCTGGTTTGATTAAAAATGTTTTTGGATTTCATATTTTTCGCTTCTGCGGTTTATTATTTTGTTGTTATATCGTCCATGTAGCACAACCCGCATACTGTAAATGGGTTACGGGTGTCACAACTTTTGGTATGAGAGCCACGTTCTTTCCTAGGGAAGGAATCGTGTTCATTACCCAACGGTTTTCTACAAAAATGTTTTCAAACCATGTCCGAAGAAAATCCTCACATGTCGAGGTTTGTACATTGATGATGCAGTTATCGGTCGTCAGTTGCTAAATTGTCTTAAATGTGGTGCAGTGAAATTGTGCCACAACATGCTAGGCTTGCAGCGAGGGCTGATGACATTCTCGATCAGACTCCACCGACTAACCTGGGAAACAAAGGATAGAGGGCCGAGTTTCGTCACTTTTAGGAGACCGTGTGGCAACACCTGGCTGCCCACGCCCCACTACCACCTCCGGCGAGAGACCAGAGCCGAGGAAAGGGGACCTACACCAGCTGCCGATACCTGCTGCGACGGCGGGATACCTCCCCATCGTCAAGGAGCTGCGGGCGATGCATACCCCTCGATTTGAGGGATCATTGAGGCCGGAAGCTGTTGAGGAGTGGCTCACCCAGATCACTCAGGACTTGGAGTATCAGCAGTGCCCGCATCAGTACCGGGCTATGATCGCGAGTCATCATCTGTCGGGTCAAGCCCGACATTGGTGGGCGAAGGTGGTGCAAGAGGCGCCAGCGGTACATCGCTTCACATGGGAGGAGTTCCGACATGAGTTCGAGGAGAAGTACTTTCGTCGGCAGGACCATGAATACCGCATGATCGAGTTCCTCATGTTGCAGCAGGGGGACATGACTATCAGCGAGTACGAGGCGGAGTTCACCCGTCTACTGATGTACGGAGAGTATCTGGTGTCCACCGAGGCGTCGAAGATTCAGAAGTTCATTGCCGGACTCCGACCTTACCTGGGGAGAAAGATTGAGATCCAGGAGTACTACCGACTCAGCGTCGGGTACTCCTGGATCTCGATCTTTCCCCTCCCTCTTCGCCATTGGGAGGGGAAAACAGACCAGTGGTCCCCTCGTCGCCAGTGGTGGTGGAGCACGAACAGTGGGCGCCTTGCCCTTGTCGCGCGGGTCGCTGCTCCAGATGTTCTTCCCAGATGAACACGTAGTGAAGCACTTCCTGAAGGGGCTCTGCTCATGGGTGTTCCCCTCCCTCTTCTCCCGCTCTCCACGCTCCACCTTCTCCAGCGAGGACTGGAACAACCCCCAGAGTTTATGCTCTCAGTGTCGAGCAGGAGATCCAGGAGGGAGAGGAGGAGGAGGCTCACCCTTATGGAGTCGAGCCTGCTGCGATCTCAGGTACTCTATATCTCTATGGAGGTTCTTGTTACACGTTGTTTGATACTGAGGCAACCCATAGTTTCCTAAGTGCGGGAGTGGCGTAGAGGCTTGAGACATGAGAGATCGAACCGAGGGATGATTTCACTGTGCACATACCAACCGGAGAGACATTAGCAGTGCACGGGATCCTGCGAAGCATACCCCTCGAGATTTGCGGTCGCCTATTAGCCGCATATCTCATTGTGGTACCATCGGAGGATTCGATATCATTTTGGGCATGGATTGGTTGATGAGGTACCAAGCCTACACCGATTGTCCCAATAGGACAATCTGGTTTACGAACGAATTCGGAGGGTTCGAGTTCCGAGGCCAAGGAGCACCGGCAGCGGACCCGATCATCTCGGCACTGAAAGCCGAGAAGATGATTAGAAAGGGCAACGAAGCATTCCTGGTAGTCATCACAGCTACACAGGAATCGGAGCGGAGATTGGAGGATACACCCATTGCCCGAGAGTTTCCAGATGTGTTTCCCGATGATCCACCGGGATTACCACTCACTCGGGAGGTTGACTTCAGCATAGACGTGTTACCAGGTACCGAGCCTATTTCCAAGGCTCCGTACCGGATGACACCTACAGAGATGGCCGAGCTGAAGAAACAGCTGAACGAGTTGATGGAGCAGGGTTTCATCCGCCCTAGCATTTCGCCGTGGGGAGCACTGGTACTCTTCGTGAAGAAGAAGGACGGGAGTATGCGATTGTGCATCGATTACCGAGGGCTCAACCAAGTGACTATCAAGAATCGGTACCCGTTACCGAGGATTGATGAGTTGTTGAACCAGCTACAGGGAGTCCAGTGGTTTTCGAAGATCGATCTACGATCCGGATATCATCAGATTCGGGTCAAGGAGGATGATGTACAGAAGACGACATTCCAGGCGAGATATGGACACTTCAAGTTCGTGGTCATGCCTTTCGGGCTCATGAACGCGCCTGCGGTGTTCATACAACTGATGAACCGCATGTTCATAGACTACCTGGATGAGTTTGTCATCATCTTCATCGATGACCTCCTCATCTGATTCGCCGGATCCACAGACACATGAGGAGCATCTGCGAAAGATATTGTGGACACTGAGAGAGAACCGACTGTACGTGAAATTCAGTAAGTGCTACTTCTGGTTGCAGGAGATTGGATTTCTGGGACACGTGGTATCGGCCCAGGCATTCAGGTCGATCCGACCAAGATCGAGCCCGTCATGGAGTGGCAGTCCTCGACTTCTGCAATGGAAGTCAGGAGCTTCTTGGGACTAGCCGGTGTTGGTTTAGTGCTCTATGATGTACTGTTTTATGAGCTTTGTTATGATACATTTGATGTATTGACACTTACTATGGTTTTATGGATGAGTGTTTGATTCATTACATGTTATGCATACTTTAATGTGTTATGAAATCCATGTATTGTTATGAACAATACTAAACTCCCTATTCATATATCATTGTGGGAACAATGATGTCTAAGACTAGTATGATGTATGATAGATGATCATAGAGATTATCATGGGTATTGGATACGATCACAATCATAAATATTCGTTGGAGAACGGAATATTGGATTGACCCGCATGAGATTGTCAATTGGACTAGCGTCATGACTTGAATCTCATGTGACAGTTCCATGATTGGATCCTGTGACCTGAGATGTCTACAGAATCCAACATGAGGAGTTGCGTACTTTGAATACGTCAAACGTCCTGCGTAACAGGAGGACTATAAAGGCGTGTATCAGGTACGATGTGAATCATGTGCTGGATTGTAGATAGTCAAGATGGGATTTGTACCTCTCGTAAAAGAGAGAGATATCGCTGGGTCCCTCATGTGAGCGAGACTGTAAAAATATGTGGTCACACTATAGAGAAACGGCGTCTATTTCGTATAGTTAAACTCAGTGAATGATATCGTGATAGAAAAGGATCATCAACCGGAATCATCACCGACGTTCGTAAGATCATGAACAAACTCTATTCAAAATAGGTAGTCATAGTGTCTTGCTAGAGACCGCCTATGACTTGTATAACCGAAATGGAGATTTCGGGTTATACTGCTATATCGGATGAGCCTACAGGGTCAACACATAGGAAAGGACAAACGCGCGAGAAAAGATGAGAAATTCCCGGTGGAGCGGAGGCCAGACCGACCGGACCAGAGGTGACGAGCAAACGTTGTTCGGTCCGGAAAATATTCCAGACCGATCGGTCCATAGGTTAAAAGCTCCAGACCGATCGGTCCAGCTCTGGACTAATCGGTCCAGGCGTCGGAAATTCTTTATCTCACTCTAATTAGGGTTTTAAGGTTAATTAACTTTGAGGAACGCCTTCTAAAGGTTAGAGGATGATTTCACAGACCTTTTGAGAAGTTTTGAATCGAAAACCCAGAGTTAGATCCCGGATACCCTTGCGCAAAGAAGAAAAAAGTTCTTCGGTCCTAGCGCACAAATTCCAACCGTTGGAATCCTTTCCGCCGTGTGGATACGTGTAAAGAGCGAGGTAAACTTCCTGTCTTAGTGATCAGACGAATACATCAATTGATACAGGCCTCGGATCGATTGAGGTAAGCGTTCTAACGTTTCTACAAAATCATGCATGCTAGGTTTTAGGGTTTCATAAAATTTTTGTTTTACATCCGCTACGCAAACCCTAGAACCGATCTCTTAGGAATTAGATTCGCTGTAGAGATCCCAGGAATCCCAACAGTGGTATCAGATCATGGTTGCTCTGTATGATTTTGTTAGAACTCAATCACGCACGTTATAGAATTTGAATCATTTTAATCTGTGTTTGCTTTTGGATGCTATGCATTAATTGACTGTGGATCTAGAGTAGATTTCGTTTTCTTTGTTGCAGTGCAAGAGGTTCAAATTCTGAGTTCGCAGGCGAAAACAGGGTCGAATTCGGGTCTGAAACAGGGCCGAAACAACGAAAACGAGATTTGATCACGTTTTCGCCTGGACCGATCGGTCTAGGGTTTCGTCAGGCGGTTGGATCGATAGGTCTAGACCGAACGGTCCACACATGTGGACCGATCGGTCTAGGCCAAACCGAACGGTCTGGACATTTCTGGACCGATCAGACCGATTCGCGTAGACCGACCGGTCTAGACCTCTGGACCGATCAGTCCACATCCCGAGGTTAGACCAAAATTTTTGGTTCTTCGTTTTCGGGATCTGATTTGAGCAATAGTTGCTTAACCCGATCAACTGTGATTCAGAATAACATGATTCGTTCGTATGGATGGTCTATAGTGATTGAATGCATGTAACTTAATCAAGATATTAGATATGCTTGATTGAGTGTGAGTTTCGGGATTGGGATTACATAATCGAATGGATTATGTAATACATCTGATCAAGGAACAATGGTTGATCCTTGATTCGATTCGTACAATCGTTGCACAGAAACCGGTTAGATCTAGGAGCTTGATGTCGCAAATCTACGTGTATAAATTTGATCAAGTAATAATATCCTAGACTCAACAATTAACCGCAAGTGTACGGATCGTGTGTAGCAACTAGGGTCGAATACAAGGACAAGTAAACAACTGAATCAGATTCCTTTCCAAATCTAGATATAGAGAAAATATGAGAATGATGAGAATGTATCAAAAGCAAATAATAAAAACAAACGATAAACTATCAATGGCAAAACACTGCAGGCTTCGGGATTGCTTTACGTGCAAGGATCTTTCAAAAGATACAAACTAAGTGGTTTATCTATCCGATTCAGGGAATTCAAACTCTAAAGTAGAGATTAATCCTCTGAGTCTAACCCCACTATCCAGGCTTTATCCTACTAATCTCTCGATTCAATAGTCTAAAACCCTGGATGCATGAACGAACGCTATCATAATCCCTAGACAAATATTCATCTCTCAATGCAATACCTGTTCTATTTATTGAATTATTTCCATGTTAGAATCTCATATGTCTACAGCAAAGGAATTATTTGCTTCGGTTTGGGCAAAATTGGAAGTTTTCCCAAATCCGGAGGTCGAACCGATCGTTTCGGCAAAGTCAAACCGATCGGTTTCACTTTCTGAGCAATTTTCCAATTTCTGCGATGCCGAAACGATCGTTTCGTCTATCCCGAACCGATCATTTCGTGTCTCTGAGCAGTTTCGACGGGCTTCACCAATTCGCTCATAACTTCCTGCTCCGATATCGGATTTGGGTAATCTTGGTGTCTATGCGTAGATATTGAGAAGAGCTTTCTAATGATATAGAGAATGCATGTTTTAGACTTGTAGAGTGAAAGTTATAGGACTTGCAAGATCTGACGTTTCCTAAGCTTCACGTTTTCCATGGAAACACTCCAAATGTTCCCGTTTTGTCCATGATGTTCCGTAGCCCATGTTTTCCACTCCTTTTGCTCTTTTCATGCGTGAAAACCTGTCTAAACACCAAAGAACACAACCATGCAATATCGAAGCCAAATGTGCCCTACAATGCCTACAAATATGTAAAATAGAGTGAAATACGTTAGACATCCTATATCAAAACGTCACCCAAAATACGTGTTATCAAACTCCCCCAGACTTTAACCTTTGCTCGTCCTCGAGCAAATTCTCCGTGAAAAACGGTCTGAAAAAGGAGGGTGAGACAATGACATAACTCAAAATGATAATCGAGAGCGAAACCCCTATCTGACCTAGATCCCCGTGAACAATGATCAAGTCTGTCTAGTATGATCTCCCTCTCTAAAAGATAATCTTTCCTAGTCATGGGATCTATACCGTTATCTAGAACCAAATCAAGGACTTCAATCATCTATCAAGCATGTTTCTCGAACCTATTACACCATTTTATCTAATCGCATCTTTCAAAAGATGCAAACTAAGTGGTTTATCTATCCGATTCAGGGAATTCAAACTCTAAAGTAGAGATTAACCCTCTGAGTCTAACCTCACTATCCAGGCTTTATCCTACTAATCTCTCGATTCAATAGTCTAAAACCCTGGATGCATGAACGAACGCTATCATAATCTCTAGGCAAATATTCATCTCTCAATGCAATACCTGTTCTATTTATTGAATTATTTCCAGGTTAGAATCCCATATGTCTACAGCAAAGGAATTACTCGCTAAATATCGAGACGTCAGGGTTCATATCAATACAACAAAACATCGTAAAATAGAAGGAAAGAGGAACGCTTAGTCGATTTCTCGGCTTCGTGATCTCCGTCTTCTACTCCGATCTCTCGCTTCCTGATAATTGCCCCCTTTACTTGTGCTCTTGGTATGTTTTTTGATAAAAGTCTCCATCCTTTTCGATCTAGAGGCTTTCCCCTCTTATTTCCCTTCGGTTTGGGCAAAATTGGAAGTTTTCCCGAATCCGGGGGTCGAACCGATCGTTTTGGCAAACCGATCGATTGCACTTTCTGAGCAATTTTCCAATTTCTGCGATGCCGAAACGATCGTTTCATCCATCCCGAACCGATCGTTTCGTGTCTCAGAGCAGTTTCGATGACTTCACGAATTTCCTCATAACTTGCTACTCTGATATCGGATTTGGGTGATCTTGATGTTGCGTAGATATTGAGAAGAGCTTTCCAATAATGTAGAGAATGCATGTTTTGGACTTGTAGAGTGAAAGTTATCGGACTTGCAAGATCT